TGTTTTGCACCTCCCGTCTGTAGAATTTTATTTCTATTACTTGTTTCCCTGATATCTATAATCTCCAACTATTCAAATGTAATGTCAATCGACATCTCCAGATGCCTTGATCTTTTCCCTGCCCTTCTCTGCATCTTTTCCTCTATCATGCCTCTTTACTCTTGCTCCCACTCTCTGTAACCCCTTGCATGCTAATGGCACTCCCACCTTGCTTGGGGTGAAACGCTTAAGGAAAGTATAACATATATTATTTTTATTACTTCAAAGCTCACAAGAAAATTCAATTTCAACATTAAATGACCCCATTAGGTGATATACCGTAAAACAAACAAATGAAATCATATCATTCTCGGTGTAGAATTGTAATCAGTGATTGTTGTATTTCATCCCTTGGAAACCATGTATATAATATTCCATTGATATAACCATTAGTAGTCTAAAGAAGTCCTTTCACAGGACGAAACGAGAAGTGGAGAACTTTTTTTTTCGTTTATTCAATTGTTATTTGAATTATGTACTATAGTCATACATGTACAGACATGCAGATAAGCATTTACAGAAATAATTGTATTCAGAGGATACTTTCTTTTTATTCAGGTTAATTGTTTCTATTGATTAATCCTCATAAAACTGATGCAATATGAAGCGTGAATGTTGTTTTTTTTTTTCTTTTTCTTACCTTTTCTGGGAAAAGTATTCAGTATCTTTTTTTTTTTCGAAAACGCCTCCAGTATTTTTTTTTTTACAGAAAAATAAGCACTTCTGCTGTCTAATTAAGTCGCCATTGGTTATAGCTGTGAATTCTGGCCGCCGATGGTTGAGGTGATTCTATGTGTACATCAATGTTCAGCTATTATGTCTACAGGCAAACACATAGTTATATCCTCATCTTTCTTTCTTTCTTTCTTTTTTTTGAAGTCGTGTGAAGCGAACGCAACATACTCGAGAGGAATTCGAACTAGGTTCATCGATTCCAATTACCACGCTAATAATACCCAAACAAGTCCTGAATAAAAAATCACTCTTTTATTCAAAATCTACAGTAGAAAGATAGTATAATCCCTTAGAGGATTAAAACAGGCTTTTATTCTTGTTTATTCTGTATTTTACCGTTTACCAACATTTTGTAAATTATTAAAGCCAGAAAAATATATTCAGATTGTAAAATGTTTTTGATATAATATTGATTTACTTATTCAACTACAAAATAAGCCGTAGATGAGTTAGATGTTTCCCAGGGGTTTGTTTCGAGGAACTGAATATAATGAACCCGAGTGAAATTGGGACTTGGTTCTACGATTTCCAATTCCGAGCCGTTATGCACTACGGCATCCGCACATCCAAGATTACAACACCTGACATTCCCAAGCGGTCACCCGTCTTCTAGGGACTGATTCGACGTTGCTTAACTTCGAACAGCCTTTTGTCTGTTTGATAATTAACATCGAAGGAAAATTATATCAGTAGGCGTAGGACTTGAATAAACATTTGCCTGATATGTAAGATAATAAGAACATGATGCCAGCCATGGTTAGTATTGAACAACTTCTAGATTGGGGGCTAAATAAAATAATAGGAATATGATGCCAGCCACGTTTAGAATTGAACAACTCAAGGGCACATGGCACAGTGGATAAATGCGTTCGTTAGATCCAGTGACAGCATCCAAAGAGTGTGAGTTCAATACCTGGTTAAGGAAGTGGGAAATTAACAGGAAATAACTGATAAGTGACATCCATTAGTCTACCTCAGCGTGCAAAATAAAGGTTTCAGTTCGACATTCCACCCAGCTGAAGAAGGCCGGAGCGTACAACGGCCGAAACATTGTGATAAATATGGCAAAAAAGGTGAGGACAATTGTCCGAATAATGTAGTGTAAAACGTTGTCCTCCTCCATGACAAGTCAAGGCCGCATACAGCCACATAACACATGAAAACCTTCTTGATCACAGCTGGTCTGTTCAACCTCACCTGCCATACTCACCGGACTTTGCACATATTACATTTCCCGGTCCCTTTGATGGAGAAATCTCTAATGAAACCTAGATTCAAAATTTCTATAAAAAGGTTTCATATCGAAACCTATGGAACCTAAGATCTGCCTGATGAGTGGTGACTATATAAAAAGTTTGTAAGAAATTTGGTTCGCTATATAGTGCTAGACAATTTTTCTCGCCTAAATCTATCTTACAGATTTATAAATCTACCATTTGACCATTCATTAAATATTGCTGCCGCATCTGATCTCGTGCTTCTGCTATATATTTAGAGATTCTTGATAAAATCCAACAAAGAATTTGCAATGTTATTGGTTCTGACCTGGCCTCTCGGTTTCAGTCACTTTCCCATCTCTTTCATGGTAATTGTTCTGCTGGTCGTTCCTCTATGGTACCTAGATTTTATGAATTTAGGCGCAGTACTATATTGGCAGCAAGGTCTCATCATTTTACATTTGAAATGGATAGATGTAACCGTAAGTTCTATGCTAACAGTTTCTTCTATCGCACTTTTCGATTTTGGAACTCTCTTCTTTCTTGCCAGTTTTGATCTTCAAAAATGTAAATATCATTCATTATTTTGTCTTTTTAATTCTTGTTTTATTGTTCTCTCTTCTTAATAGTAGTTTTTCTCATATTATGTAATAATTCAGTAACACCTTACATCTTAATGGCTTTATTGCCTTGCGTGGGGTGAAACGATTTAAAAAAAAGTAATAAAATGTAATTGTAACTTATTTTTTGAAGCTTAACCTTGATATAGAAAATCGAAAAATATTTATGTCTGAAGCCATTACGCAAGTTCTTAAATTAAATAATTAGCAAAGCTATCATGATCGCTTATATTTCGACAAATGGACAGGGTGTTGCTGCAAATGCAACACTTGATATAAAGAAAACGAAATAGGCAATAAAAACAAAAGTTTTATGTGCAGAGACCCGACTGTTTACTTAGCAACATTTAGAGGTACATACTACATTATTTTTCAATGTAACCGCCGCTGGCGGCGATGACCATCTCAAGGCGGGCGCGAAATGAGTCACACGCTTTGGCGACCATGTCCTTGTCCATAACGGCGAACGCCTGCACGATGGCAGCCTTCAGAGAGTCGACCGTGTTGTGGGCGTTCTTATTGGTCTTGGCCTCGATCACGCCCCAGAAGAAATAGTCAAGGGGGTTGCAGTCAGGTAACGAGCGCGGCCACAAGAATTATTGAGCAGTTACGCCTGGGTCGTCTTGGCTTTGTGTGCAGGAACGGAGTCCTGCTGGAAGACGTAGGGGCATCCCGCGGCGATCTTGACCATCCAGGGCTTCACCACGCACATCAGCACCTCCTGGTAGATCTCAGTGGTGACTCTCAGACCCTTTTGAAAGAAGAAAGGAGGCATGACGCCCTCCTCGCTGCACACAAGGTCAAGACGACCCAGGCGTGGCTGCTCAACAATGCTCCTAACCATTGGTCGCCGTACTTGTGGCCGCCCTCATCACCTAACGGCAACCCCCTTGACTATTTCTTCTGGGGCGTGATCGAGACCAAGACCAACAAGCACGCCCACAACACGCGCTATGGACATGGTCGCCAAAGCGTGTGACTCATTTTGTGCCCGCCTTGAGATGGTAGTTGCCACCAGTGGCGGTTACATTGAAAAATAATGTAGTATGTAACTCTAACTGTTGGTAAATAAACTATCGGGTCTCTGCATATACAACTTTTGTTTTTATTACCTACTTCGTTTCCTTTTTGTCAAGTGTCGGATTTTGCTGCAACACCCTGTACATCTTACATGCGTGACCACAAAACACATCCACACGTCTCGGATTCGCGTATAAAGATAATTTCATATGATCAGCCCCACCCTTCTAGTGTTCACATATAAACACCAACAGTTGCCTAGCTACGCGTACAGTGCACAAATACGGACAATTATAAAGTGATATTGATACAAACCTGCGTACAGAAAAGTAACCAATTGCTTTCATGAGAGGGTATATCAATTTTGTTGTGGTAAACCCTCCTACAGTAAAATGAACTCTTCCTCCTCTCATAAATACTAACTGCAAGAGTCGTTGAGGAGTCGGTTGGGGAGTGGGGCCAAACCGTTAATTGCTGTCAAACTAATCGCCTCGGCGGAGAGGAACCCCGACGAAGCTTTGCCGAAGGACAAATTTTCGTCCGGGTAGGTGGACAGGCCCTGAGCCCGTTTGTGCGGGTTCAAAGGGAATATTTTGGGCCGAGCCTACGGTCTCGGAGAACACACAATAAACCGGCTTTGTGCCACATACGACCCACGTGGTGGGGCGTTAAATATATCGGAGACGCAGTGTTAACCTACCATTCGGACGTACACCTCTATCTGCTAATTACTAACACTCTTGCTTTGTATATACAGTCTGACCCGGATATAAGAGACCCGGATATAAGAGAAACCCGGATATAAGAGAGATTTTCTCTGGTCCCAAATTAGAGCCTTAGTTACCTAAACAAAATAGACCAAACCCGGATATAAAAGAAACCCGGATATAAGAGTCTTCTTCTCCGGTCCCGACAACTCTCTTATATCCGGGTTACACTGTATATGTTATTTTCAATACACTTGTTCAACTTATCTTCGTCTTCCATGTCTTTCTTTCTGGACCCTAAACAGGCCACAACAAATTTTCATATCCGTCACTCCAGCAATAATGTTATCAATAACGAAAATATCCTGTTTTTATCGTATAAAATCTGTAATACCTTCTTTGTCGTTGTCGATGGTGATGATAATAATGATGATGATTTTTTTTTTTTTTTGCGGTTTTCTTTTTTTAAGTTACGTCCAGTAAATCCCCAAATTGCATTCTGGTCGAATGCGCCTGAAGTGATTCACGGAATGGAAAAAATATTAAGTTCCTTTCGTTTTGAAAATTGAAGACTCGAAGAAAAGTGAAAAAAAAATGGAGGTGGTCAAGCAAAATAAAAAAGAGAAAAATGAAAATTAAATTACTTTATGCTTGAATGAATGCTATAAGTAATAGATCATAGAATAAACAGAAACTTCCTTGGAGAGAAGGAGAGGAAACAAAGGAAAAATTGTGATGAAGAGAAAAAAGAAAGAAGGAACAAATACAAACCGAAAAAAAAAATGAAAATACAATCTGCACGGAAAAATAGAAAAGAAATACAACCTGAAAAAGAAAGAATGAATAGAATCTGAAATAAAAAAAATAAAAAAAAAAACAAACTTAATCTGAAAGGAAAAAGAAATTGCAAAAGAAAAAAAAAACAAATGAAACCGGAAAGGAAAAAGAAAGCAAAACAAACAGAATCTGGAAGAAGAAAGAAAGAAAGAAAGAAAGAAAGAAAGAAAGAAAGAAAGAAAGAAAGAAAGAAAGAATACAATTTGAAATGAAAAAGAAAGATTGAAAAAAGTCAATGTAAAAGAAAAAAAGAAAGAGCAAAAAGAAACTGAAGAATAAAAGAACAAATACAACAAAAATACAAAAAGAAAGAAAGAACGAAGACAATCTGAAAGAAAAGAAAAAAGGCTAACACAAACTTGGAAAAGAAAGAAAAAATTCAACTGAAAAGAAAAAAGAAAAAAGAAAAAAACACTATCTGAAAGAAAAGAGAAAGAGCAAAAAAACCAATTTGGACAGAAAAGAAAAAATTAACAGAAAAAAAGAAAGAAAGAAATCAGTATCTGAAAGAAAAAAATAAAGAAGGAGAAGAAACCGAAAAATGAAAGTAAAAAATCAACGCGAAAATAAAAAGAAAAAGAGAAGAATGAGAAAAGATTGGAATTTCGAACTTATTCTAATTCCAATCACCTGAAGAAGGCTGGAGCGTACAACGGCCGAAATCTCGTGAATATGACAATAAAGATGAAGACAACAGTTCTAATATTGTAAATAATGTAAATAATTACAAAACCTCTTGATATTGACAGATAATGAGAAAAGCATATGAAGCACTCACAACTCAACCTGATTGAAAATTATAGCAAAGAAAACAGAAGATAACAAAAAAAAATGCAATTTGAAAAAACTAAAAAAGAAAACGAAAAAAAAGGAAGGAAGAAAAAAAAACACCGAAGAAAAAATAGACAGAAAAATCACAAGAAATAAAACCGAATGACGAAAGATAAACAGAAAACGAAAGCATATCAAATAAAGAAATCTATATAAAAAAAAAGCGACGTAAACGTCTTACTATCGCAATCTTCATGAAGCTTCTTACCTAAAAGGAAATTATATATTAAACAGCTTGAATCTTCATACCATAGAATTCGGTCTATTAAGTGTTCCCCTTAAAACCATCGCTATTTCAGTAATTTGGGTTACTACAAAAATATCGACAGACACTATTGGTAGCCTGCAATAATAATATGCTATTTGACGGGGAATTGTTTACAAGAAAATACAAAAGCGAAGACAAACGAGTTTAAACCAGTAATTTTCTTTGTGAACGTATTACAGATGGACGGTAATTGCGTCTTTCTATTCTGATTTTTTTAAAATTTTAATGATTGACAGCTGATGCTTGTCACATGTGTGCGTAGTTCATTTTCAAAAGTAATCGTGTTTCTGGTTCGAAATTAGGAAATAAATCTCTTTACTGATTTGTAAATAACCAAGATTTCCATGTATCTTATCTGTCAGTGAAAATATTCTTGTAGTAATATTTGACTGCATTTGAAAAGTTATCTCAGGAAATAACCCAATAAAGGACTTATAATAAGCTCATGTATAGATAGATAGATAGATAGATAGATAGATAGATAGATAGATCCAGTCAGAGTAGATATGGTTGTTTTATGGAAGTAAGAGAAGGATTGGTTTGATTTGTTTACTGGCATTTTATTGGGGCGCACCCACCTTCTAACTAGAAATGGACTGGTCCCTCTTATATAAGTCGGCTCTAGAGATAGCGAGAGACAGAACGTCAGCGGTCCAGATAAGTTTACCCGTTACATACCGTTGGACTATAGACTTTGGATATTGTTTCGTACTAACCAACCTTCGTTCTACTAATCACTCTATTGTTAATTGCTTTTACAAATATACCAGTATTTTCCTCTACAACTGTGTTTTGTCTTGATTCATACACCGACACGCGGGAAACTCACAGCATCTCAACACATTTCAACTCCTTATAAGCCATTTAATGCCGAAATTTTCTTTTCTTGGGAGCTTCGGTAAGTTTTTTTCCCCAAAATTGTATTGCTGGTAATTTTTTGTAATGTATTTTATATTTTGACACCAGTCTTGAGGTTCACTATTTGCCCATAGCTGGGACCCTAACAGGTGTTACCACCCTGAGTCAGGGGAGGGGGGACCTGAGAACAACATCAATTAAGAGGTGGTTCCGCGATCCTCAAAAACACCCAATCTTCCAATCAGAGGCTTTGCTGCCAGATGTAGTTTGTCGTCATACCCAGGATCGGTTAAAAGAGGAGGTAATAAGTGTAGCCTATAAGGATATGTAGGATATAAAACGGTACCCTAGACTTGAAGAGGTTAACATTGTAGTAATAGGGTAAGCATAATCTCGGGAGCCTGTTTCACAAAGCAGTGGTTCTTGGGAAGAAGCTGTCTGTATTGCACTTCCTCCTTACAGATTGTATAAAAAGAGAAAGATTGTTATACGACTCTGTGTACATGGCATGCCAAGTCTTGACTGTAAAGGTCTTGAACTATTGCAATCAAGGGATGTAGCTCGTCATAACGTTTTCCACGGAAATAACGATGGAGTAGCTATAATTCTGCGACGTTTTGTTTGTGGAGAAAGAGGTTGTAGGAAGGAAAATAACTCATTACTCATAAGGTCACGTAAACTATTTTCAACTCTAAGAAGGACATAGATAGATAGATAGATAGATAGATAGATAGATAGATAGATCTGAACAGACTGAGATAGATAGATAGATAGATAGATAGATAGATAGATCTGAACAGACTGAGATAGATAGATAGATAGATAGATAGATAGATAGATAGATAGATATGAACATACATAAATAGATAGATAGATAGATAGATAGATAGATAGATAATGTGTGTTTGTGTGTGTTTGCTTATCTGTGTGAAGTCAGAAATCAACACTTCATAGTAACTGTCAGTTTCACATTTCAAGTGATCTACTTCGCAGACTCTATGGTAAATGTAAGGATGACAAATGAAAAAAAAATGTCCTGATCTAAAAATAAAAAAAAAACACTTTGTCCCATTTCAACCCTAATCACACTAAACCAAAGATGACCTCAGATATAGAACATAAACTAAATACACATCCAATCATTATAATGTTCGTCTCTAAACCATAATGAACTTACTGATGAAGAAATTAAGGAAGCTGTTAAAAAGCTAAGTTATAATAGACCCAGTACTAGATATTGAGGTGAAACTTTTGAATAGAGCTTGCTTACTTTCCGAATTCAATAACAAGTTTCTCAATTTTATGAAAGAAGTTTGGAATCCGAAAACGTGGCCGGATATTTGGCCGACGGACATTTGGCTGAACGGATATTTGGCCGAACGGACATTTGGCCGACAGCCATTTGGCCGAAAAAATACAAGTATAAATAGTAACAAGCAATACTTTATGTATTTTAATTAGTAGTATTATAAGGTAGAATAGGACTAATACTTAACACTGAATTTCATGTGATTAAATTACTAAATCTAAATTCAATTTTAAAAGTTTTTTATTTCATTATTTGTTTATTGAAATTAGTATTTTTTTTAAATATCTGATTGTATTTGGGTAAAAAGTATCACCTAATTATTTAAATTCGTACTTAACAGTAAGATAAAAACTAGTTCATCCCTTTAAGATAAAGATCATTAAAAGCGAAATTAAAAGATCTTTCATATCGTAAAAGCTTAAGACTTTTGCTGTTGTAAAATGTGCTTTTTCTCAAAATACTTATCATCTTACAGTAATATTTAAAGTAAAATATAATATATACCGAATAGATTTTTAAAAAAGCCTGTCAAAAAAAAACGAAAAATTATAAATTAATCCAGTAAATAAATATAAATATATGTAGGACATTACGATAAAGAGTGTGACATACATGGAAGTACGACACTACATTTTCAGCTAAATATCCGTTCGGCTAAATGTCCGTTCGGCTAAATGTTCGAGTACCTCAGAAATGCATCCCCAAAAAGTGTGGTTTATCGCACATTTATGTACTCTGGAAACAAATAGGTATCCCTCAAGATCCACACACATACAGAGGTATCTCAACTGGATCTTATATGGTGAAAATAATTATAACAATTAACTAGGCTTACATCATTATATGAAAGTCGACTTCACTGTCCAGTTTGGTTTTCGTTTTGTTAAAGGATTTAATGATTTAAAATGTCATCAAACAACGCCAGGAAATTGCGTATTAGAATATAAAAAAAAACAAAATGATCTCTTCTTAATCGGGCCGCAAACATTTCATCACCCGGTGGAATAAAAGTGGCCAGTAAAGGCTGACACCAGCATTCATTCTCCTGTTCTTTTCACTGTCTTTTTGCAGTCATAAATTGTCAGACGATTTGAAGTATAAAAGAAGTTTGTCAACTTGTTCAACTATTTTTTTCGTTCATTCTCATCATTCTTCATCACGTGGATAATCATGTCTCTCCAAAACTTCCTATCTCTTTATGTTCTAAGCAACGTCTGCCACGCCATTTTGTCCCTGTTCTGTCATCCGCTCACAAAAAAAAGACCCTTTTAAGTTACCTAGTAATTTCCTCTGTCCACTCCATCCGTTAATACATCCTGTGAATATAAAGTTTCCCCAAGATATCTTACTTTATCTCAGAAATTTCAAGTGCCTCTTTCTGATTTTCAGAGTTTTTTGGCTCCCATTTTCTTTAGAAATTCCTTGTTGTTCAAGTCTTCTGTCTATGGCATCCCCAGGGTCTATCTGTAAAACCACATCTAATAAAGACTGCCATCAACCACAGAAGATCATTAGCTAACTCATCAAGGACTCACCTGTGTCGCGTATTTGATAAATATGTAAAACGATATCTATTTTATATTGTTTTTGTTAATGGCTACAGAATATTCGTCCGAAAAACATATTAGATTGACCACTTATAAAAATAAAATTGCTGAGAAACAACTCTGATAAAATGGTCCTCTCGTAAAAAATAGGAAAATTTTTGTGACTAATTTTGTTGATTAGACTTCATTCGACATTTGTCAGAATCGAAAAATACATTTTATTTATCATTTTAAAAGTGTGGGTCTCTTCACAATGCAAATCGTGGATTTCATCGATGTCTGATTTTTTTTGTTGAAAGAGTTATCTTTTCCTTGTTTTTATTCATATATAAATATAGCAAAGTGGGAAAAAAATTACAACTTGATTTAAAATCAAAATTACCAATTACCGTGAATTCCTAAACATAATGCAATGATTTGGTGTTATTTTTTTTAATTTAGCATTGAAAATTCTTAGTAGATAAGATAATTCAGACTTCATCCTTTCTTCAACTTTCATTAATTAGTTCTGAGTTAGTATTAGTTCCAATTTGAAATTGGTTCCGATTTGAAATTAGTTCCGATTTGAAATTAGTGCCGATTTGAAATTAGTTCCGAGTTGAAATTAATTCTGCACCCCAAAAATGCAGTCTGGTGCAGTCTATGTCAAGAAGAAAAAATGGCCACCTTTTCCTACCAGACTAATTAGATGATTTGAAAAGAATTGTCACTTGCTCGACCATTATTCATCAGAACTATGAATTATCATGGCTTTCCACAACTTCCTGTTCTTTACAGCTCTAACCAACTTTCCATTCTTTGCCATCCCTCCTTGTTTCTGTTCTGCAATCCACTCCCAAAAAAAGGTTATTAAGTCTCTCGCTCGGTAAAATGAGATAAATACTGTGAAATTGTAAGTGCAGAAGAAAATATATGTGAGCATACCTGACACCAGATTAATGGTTTGACTATTTTGAATTCTTCCATGGCACATAAAATACCTCGATTGAATTTTAAAGTAAAATAACTTGTTGCTTGATAAGTCATTTTTTGGAAAACTAGTCGTGAAGAAGGAAATATTTAAGGTTTTAATTCGGATTTTAACTTGCTCTGTTATTCACTGAGTACTGTACATATATATATATATATATATATATATATATATATATATATATATATATTGCTGTCATATATAGTCTGGTGCTCCCCCTGTATGTCTTGAGGTCCTTGAGAAAATCCAGAGACGAATCTGCAAGATGATAGGTCCTGATCTGGCATCTAGTCTACAATCACTATCCCACAAACATGCCGTGGCCTCCCTCTGTCACTTCTACAAATATTTTCACGGCATCTGTTCCGACGAGCTACTTTCGCTGGTTCCCGGACTACATGAATTTAAACAAGCTACCAGGCTGGCATTTTGGTCCCACCCTTTCACTGTCAAAATGGTTAAATGTAACCGTCCTTTTCTGTATCCTTTCCTCAAACACGCCTCTTTATTCTTGTTCTCATTCCTCTGTAACCACTTGCTTGCTAGTGGCACTGCCGCCTTGCTTGGCGTGAATTGCCTTAAAAAATATCAAACCTTACAACAACCATAGTAATACCTGCAGCCTTTGTAAACAAGAAAACTTAACTATAATAACATTTCCAGACCAAAAACAATGACAATTATGACCCGTTGCATACAGACTAAAAAGTTCCTTTTGAGTTCATATGAACCGGGATGAAAGGAAAGTATGTACATTTCATTTAACCCCCGACCGATAAATTTCCAATATCCTTAGTTTTTTCTCCTCCTCCCCTTCTGTCACACCTCACGCCGTACGCTTATCTATTTATTTTAAATATTTATTATAGCGTTCCTTAATGATTTTTTTTTTAATAAAGCGTTAGGAAATTAATTGAATGAAATCGTCTGAAGATATCGAAAGGTTGAAACCAAGCTAGCGGGGTATTATATATATATATATATATATATATATATATATATATATCACTCTATTAATGCCTTGGTGTAACCCAGTACCATCTGCCACATATACATCCCAGGCTACTCCATTCTGCTAGACAGGTGTTGTTGTTTTTTTCGTTCTGCTTGGTGTCTAGCCAACCTACTCACCAGAAAAGCCTCGTGCGGGATCCGATTTAGTCGCCGTGCGGCAGTTAGTACTGGGTTACATGGTATCTGTAGCACTCGTAAAGTGTCCCGGATTAAAATATATTTGATATCTGTTAGTAAATTCTATTGAACCAATACGCTGATGAGTACTTCTGTGGAACTCGAAGTCGAGAAGATAATTTTTCAAACTTTTCATTTTATTTCATTACTCTTCCTCTCTCTCTGTCTCTGTCTTTCTGCCTGTCTGTCTGTCTGTCTGTCTGTCTCTCTCTCTCTCTCTCTCTCTCTCTCTCTCTCTCTCTCTACATATATATGTGTGTATTTTTAAAACCCATATATATATATATATATATATATATATATATATATATATATATAGTTGCTCTGTTAATGCTCCTGGTGTAACCCAGTGCTATCTGCCCCATTGTCAGATTATCGATGACCAAACCGGTTCCCCGACCATGATGATGAGAGGTGGGGGTGCTATACAGCCACCAGGGTTAAAAAAAAAAAAAGACCTATCAAAGGTATGATGAATCCTTTCTTGGGATCAGCGGCCATATCGCACAGACGCGGCATATAGGAATACCTGGGTTGGTGTCTTGATCCGAGGTAAACTCACTGGAAGTCTTGGACCCTTAGTTTTCGTTAAGGTATCCAAATAGAAGAAGGAAAACTCTGATATACCATCATTAGCTAGACACCACCCAATTATGTCGCCTTGTTCTATTCTTGCGTAGTGAAGTGCCGGTAGACAAAATAAACACTGTTTAAATAGTCAGGTCGTCTACTCAAATACGGGTGTCCCTTAAAAATAACGTTTGAGGTGATAAAATTATGTCTGATTAAAAAATAAAACCAATTATTTCTTTAAACATATATATATATATATATATATATATATATATATATATATATATATATATATGCGTGAAACCCAGGGTTACAAGTTCATATCCATACAAC